ACCATAAAGGACACTAAAAACATGAACTATTTTATGGAACAAGCCTTTTAATGTCTGACCTGTTTTAAAAACCTAGTGAGTGTTATAAAAAAACTATATATATTTTATTCAATTATTTTTTTGTAAATACTCATCGAGGAAGAGTTATATTGGTTCTTAGGTTTTTATAATTGAAGACACCTCTTTCATTTGTAAATTTTTATTTATAATCTCGTAGTCCCCACAATTCGGGGATCTGACCCATCTTCGAGAACAATTTATTCTGGTAGCTGGTATCAATTATGTATAATTTAACAACTTTCTCAGCAACTGTCTCATTGTCATACCTGTATATGATGAACATTTTATCATTTGTTTAAATTAATGTTTAAAACTAAAATACATTTTTTATAAAAATAAATGAAATTGTGGTTGTTTTAACTGTCACATTGCCTCTGGGTATCTGATATATATATATTTTTTTTTAAATGTTAAAAGTAAAAAAAAAAAATTGATGAAGCAAGACACAGTTTCAGCTTAGCACTTTTCCATAAGTATTTCTGGATGAATATTGCTGATTAATGAAGAAAAGATGTCTAAGGTACACAAAAAACATGAACTAATTTACAGAACAAATCTTTAAATATCAATAATATTTTAACCATCCAATTAACATGATAAAAAAATATTGCTTTTCCAAAATGTTGTGGTTATATATTTCTGGATGAAAAGTGCCAATTAATAAAGAACAGATATATAACCACCAATCATTGATTTTGTCTTCCATAATGTAAAAAAAAAAAAAAAATGAGATATTTTGTTTTGACTAATAGGCGGTTAAACTCTTCCTTCAGAAATAATCTGGTTTGTATATTTGTGTATGAAATCACAAAAAATGTTTACTACATCAACGTATGGTTGAAACGACCTTAGAAAAGCATTATAAAAGTGAGAATAAAATTGCTACTGTTGGTGACTGAATGAGCAACTTCGTGAAATTAATTGCTGTAGAGACTTGTTTTTTTTTTTTTTCAATCAATTGTTTATGTAATACTAACATATATATTTGAAATTATTTTATCACATACTATGATTTTTTTCACAGATTATTTAAAATACTATTCTACTATAAGATTTCAACTGTTGACAGTTTTCTACTACCCATTTATTGTAGATGACTTTTTTTACAAAGTAAAAAAGACATAATGAAATATTTCTTTTCACTTTAAACGTTTCATTTCAAAGTAAAAGAAGATTCATCTCTGAGGCGGAATGAGAAGGAATCATAGAGGAAATACCTCAAAAAGGTGTTAAAAGAATGTTGATTCATGATTTTGGGTATGTTAGGAATTGTTTTCTTCAAGGGAACTCGTCGACACAATATTTTATTGTTTTTATATTTCCATTAAATCATGCAAATACCCCCCCCCCCCTTCCCCAAAACATGCAATTTTGTTTAGCATACAATAGCATAATACAACCTATTTGATCTGGTTTGAGTTCATAATTAACTTTCATTAATTTTTGAGTTGCTGATAAGAAAATGCAATTGCATGATGATCCGTGCTCTAGTCATGAAAAATATGTTAATATTCAATGTTTCACCATCTATCATTCCCTTTTCAAGTAAAATAAATTTTTAGTTCCTTTTATTTATAATTTAACACTTGATAATGGCATTTTTGATGGTAAAACATTATAGGATTGGTTATTATAAATTATACAAGAGAAAGGAAAAGGTATTTTTCAACATGAAATGTTGAAAAATTTATGTTTCAAAGAATGAAAAAGCCACTTCTTTTTTCCATTTCATGCCTAGAAAAGAATAAAATAAGGAAGTCATTTTTATTTTCATGGTCAATTAAATTTCTATAAGTAAGATTTTGTAATAAAATATACTACTTTATCTTTTAATATTAGACACGCTTACCTATTGATTGTATAAATATTTATAGATATATATTTTTAATAATATTTTAGATAATAACATCTTTTTAATACATTACTTATACGACATAGTAATGAACTGAATATTTCTAATAAACTTCGAGAATGTATGTATATGATTATTTTTAACATGATTTTTATATTTACTTACAATTTTAGGAAGTAGTGCCAAATGTGAGTAACATGAATTACATTTCCATTATGTAAAACTATTTATTGTATTTATTTTCTTTGTTTGTTTATTTTTAATAAAACTTAATAGAAAATAATTATTTAATAAAATTTTTAATTCTTGTAGAAATCTTGAATTATCTGTACATTGTAACAAAAAGATCTGTTTGCTTTTATTATAAAGAAATATTAATAAAAAAATCAAATTAAGTTATTACAATTTATTTTTCCCACCATATTTAAGTTATATAAATAAGTATGATTTATTTTTTTTAATTTCTAGAGATTAAGTCACAGATGAGCTTTTAACTGGGTTAGGAAGTAGCTTTTAAATGTTTATTGTAGCACTATCAGCTAGAAACATTACCTCTCGAAAATCTAGTGTATATGTAGAGTGTTTCTTTAAATTTGGGATTTTTTAAAGAGGTGATAGTAGACCTCAATAGCACAATACAAAGTTCATATGGACCATGGTTCAATAAACAAAAATGCAGCAAACTGAAGTTGTGTGTTTTTCAAGTAGCCAAATTATGCATAGTTCTGTTTTTCATAAAATTGTTGATAATTTGTGATTTTTTTCTATTAGTAGCTTCCTACTGGTCTACAGATTTCTCTCAAAAAAACTTCCTTGTTTAATAAGCTTTCAGTCCATGTTAATTAAGTTGAGGTCTGCTACAAAATAAGCTGAGATTCACTGCCAGTTTTGTAAAACAAATATGTTATGTCAAGCTTTGTTTTCTTAAGGTACCAGTATTTAAAAAATTAATAATTAAAATAAATTATTACAAATCTTCTATTAATATTTTTCTATGAAATGGGATGTTTTATTTTTTTTATTTATTTTTTTTTCTGTAGGCATTACAAACCTTGGGAGATGTTTTGCCGGCTTGATAAGCCTGCTTCATCTCTGCCTGTCTTGGGCTATTTCCTTCCAGTTATCTGCTTTTTGGCTTTCCAGGTGGTCTTTTGCCTTCTATTGAGCCATTCATTGTTATGTTGAGGCTTCCAGATGGATTGCTATGATCTACATGTTCTGCCTTCATAATCTCCGTGCCTTCATATCATGGGATATTGATTCACCAGTTTCTGTAAGCAGTTCTTTATTGTTCTTTCTTTCTCATGTGTTAGTACTCTCATCCCAGATTGTTCCGGTGATCGTGCAGAGGATTTTTCTCTCAAATCTTTCAATACTTTTTTCTAGGGTGCAGGTTAGTGTCCAGGTCTCACAGCTATATATTAGAACTAGATTTTTCATAGCATTGTGCCCCCGGGATTCCGATACCTTTGAAAGCTCTATTTGTGCTAGTTTTACTCTGATCTATTTCTGACCGTTATTCATTCATTGAAGTTATTGTAGACCAAGGCATTTGAATTTTTCTACTCTCGGAATGATTTTCCTTCTACACAGATCCTGTTATTGGGGTAGAATTTTTGGCATATTATTATTTATTTTGTTTTGTCTTTATTTACTTGCAGGCCAAACTGTTCTGCCTCTCTTATCAAATTCTTAGCATGTTTCTCAATGTCCACTTCCAAGGAGAGCTATATCATCCATTTCGACATGGACCCCTCCAGTTTTCTGTGATGTTCTTATCACCTTCTCCAGGGATAAGTTGGAAAACATCAGTAATAGTCCATCTCTCTGTCGTAAGCCCATTTGAACTTAGAAGGCTTCAGATACTTCTCCTTGTATTAGGACTCAACATTTAGGGTCATTTGTACACGCCTTTGTCAATCTCACCAACTTAGCGGAACTCCCAGTTCAGTCATAAATTTCCAAAGACTGGTTTAAAATCGACAAATAGTTCAAGAAGGTCCTGAGCTACTTTCCATAATTTTTCGAGTACTTGTTTTAGGATTAAAATCTGGTCTAAGAAGCTCTTTCTTTTATGAATCCAACTTGGTGGTCACCTATTATATTTTTGTAATATGAATATATCTGGTTTAATAGGATATTAGTCATTAGCTTGTAGGAGTTCTATAAGTTGCATAGGAGTTCTATGCCTTTATAATTACTACACTCATACATGGAGCCTTTGTTTAGAATAGAACAGATAAGGCCTGTATTTCAAGCCTCAGGTATCGTTTCCTCTTCCCATATTTTCTGGATTACTTGTAGTACCTTGTCTCTTAAGTCGTCTCCCCCATATTTAAACAGTTCTGATGCTATTTTGGCATAATTTTTATCATTTCCCTATAGTATCCTGCCTTTTAAATCTAAAAATTGTTTGATTTGTTTTTTTTAATTTTCCCTCCAAATTAGTTTTTTTATTTTTTGTTCATTGGTTGAACTCTAAGTTTTTTTTCTCTTGTAATTATTCTCTAGTTTTTATTTTATTTATGTTATTCTTAGTGGAAACTTTTTTTTTATTTCAATGAATTTTATATAATGGTTTAAATTTTTTTTTTTTTTTACTTTTATGTGTGTTGTGGCCAACAGTAATAAGTATAAATATGGTGTAAATATATACTTATATATATGTGTATGTGTGTACACTTAATATTAAAAATAAATAGATACCTACTGTATATTAAAGGATTAAGCAGGTGCCCAGTCTTAATGCAAAGACTAGTCTTGCTTACATCCTCTTAAGAACCATTTTTAGAGCTCCATTATGAATCTTATTTTATTTTACCCACATTTGTGACATTGATATCCTCCACACATAAGGTATATATTATATCACGTATAAGGTGATATACCTTTTTTTTTATTATTATATAAAAATGTAATTTAAACTCATATAAATTTATTATGGCCTTCTGTAATATTATTTTAATTACAATTAAATTGATCCATTTTTCATTAAATTACAACAGTTAATTATAAAAACATCCATAGAATTTGTAAGTTTAAGTTCTATGGTTTCTTTTTTATGTTTACTGTTTTAAATTGGTTTTTATTTCTTTCATTGTTCGATTATTATTATTTTGTATTGGAGAATATATTTAATTTATTTTATGGCATGATTCATTTCAATTATTATTTTTTTTAATATATAATTTTCTGTTATTCGGCATTTCATTTATATAGATTTATCCTCAAGGGTTTATTAATTTAACATTTTTTAAAAGAAATTAATATTGCAAGGCACTGGTGCCTCTGGATAAGGTTGGGGAGGATTGGTGTTTACATTTATTTACACTGCCGCCACAGTATTTATGTATCTTTTTTTTATATTCAATATAATATTGTAAACATTTAGAAGGAGATTTTTTAAATTTCAGTTTGCCATCATTGGGAAAAGACTTGTATTTTCATCTTGAAATACTCCTGGCCCCAACAAGTTTATTCATGAAAATGTTGAGAATGGCCAAATTACATTGATATAAATAGATTCAAAAAGGCAACTGGCAGATGGGCTAACAAATACAGACAAGTAGTAGGTACAAACTTTTTCTGTTATTCTGTCTCAACTCCATTTGTTTTTGACAGTTTTCAACAAAATCGGGTGAGCTGGTTGAAAATATGTCTGTTGACATTGATAGAAGACTTTGCCAATGATTGGCACAGCGAAGAGTCAAACTGAAACGAAATTTTTCACATATAGTTATCAAAAACAAAGTTCAAATGGAAAACATCAGTGTGTATGGGGAATCCCGTCAAGTGGTGCTGAAAAAAAATGGTGGAATTTTATTAGAGAGGTTATACATAAGCATTTTTTAGGTGCTATGTCATTATTGGTATCTTTTATTTTTTTTTATATGTAGTTCGTAATTTATTATCTATAGTTGCTAAAATGATACGGTTGTGAAAACTTGTAATAAAAGTAACTGAAATGGTGAGAGCTAATCTCATATTATGGTACATCAAGTGCAAATAGTCCCGGAATAGGCTCTCAAAAATGACGAAATATCCAAATGTGGATGAAATATAAAAAAAAAATTGTAACAAAAAACTAAAAAACATTTTGGAGGCTTCACACACTACGTGTACAATTTAGAGATTGCTTTAAAAATCGCATGAAGCAATTTTCATTATTAATATTAGAAAGAATAGCAGCACCATATTTCGTGTTTTTATAGATTTTAATGGTTACCTAACAAAGGGTTACCTTCTTCTAAATCAGATTTGTTAATCTGACGAAATTTTGAAACAAGCACTTTTTAAAAATCTCTCTACCCAAGCCTTCTTCTTCTTTTTCGGCATTGGCAGCAGATGGTAAAAACAGCAGCTGTACCAGCTGCAAAAGTTTCATCCATTTTTATTCAAAACTAAGATTAGTTTGGATGAGTACCACTGCTGAAATAAAAAACAAGTCTCTTTATCCAAGAATAATTTTTATAACAGCCATTAACGAGTTGTCAACATTTTTCATCTTGTTCTTAACTTACTTTTTATCATTTGGTGATTAATAAATACAATGTCCACTTACACAACTTTCTTTTCTGATAGGGGATTTTTAAATAGAGCTGTACAATCTCTGATTCCTGAGTACTTAGGAATGCAATCACTACTTTAGTTGACGATTAACGATCAACTGACATAGTGAAATAATTAAATTTTAGCAAAATACTCGGTACTCGGAAATCAGATTAGTTTTTGCCTATCTCTGATTTTAAATTATAGAATGCAGGTGTGTGTACATTTCTCTTCGCTGTGTTGTAAATATTTCCAATGTTTAGCAATTAATCAAAAATAATTTTCTATTTATTATATTTTGGCGAATTGAAGCCCAATTTATCTGTATTTTCATATATGTATTCTATACATTCTTGAAAAAATATTTAGAAACTTGAAATCCATTATATAAATAAGAAAACTGTTGCTTGCGAAACATTCATGTCATAATATAACTTGTATTAAAAGAAGAAAAAGTAAAGAAAGAATATTAATTATTTAAACTTATTTAATATGTTATATTTACAAAAATATACAATCGATAATCAAAAACACTTTTTAACAGATGGTTTACAATATAAACATTTTAAAATGTTTTTTATTTTTACAAGTTAAAGTTTTGTGTTGGCTGGAGCTTCCAAGGTTTCTTCTGACATATCAAATGCTTCATTCGTCTTGATTTCATGGGAATCTTCTTTATTCAATATTTTACCGTTAAGCGGTTGCTTTTTATTTAAATAATAAAGGTACCTGTGAAAAAATAGATAAATATATTAATTTTGTGTGTAGAATAAGATATTTTATCTCCTAGACCTTTTTTTTTTATTTCAATCCTTTATTGCATTATATTAACCTGTAATGTAAATTATATATATTTTTTTATTTTAGTGAAATTTATGTCTGTATTACATAAAAAATACAACAAATGAATTTGACATTGGTAACATGACATGTGCAACATGAAGAGAAACAACCCATCGGTAGAACTCAAATTAAATTCATCCGGGCATACTATTTGGCAACAAATCTTGAAACTGAAAAAACAGGATATCTTAACCGTATACAGAGATACTGGCGTGAGAATTTTCCTGAAGTTAATATAAGCAAGCAGAGGCTGAGTGACCAGGTTAGGATGATTCTAGGTAGAAATTTTCTTACCCCCGCTGATCTCCAACAATGTTTTTTTTTGTTTTTTAATAGTTTTATTGGGGTATAATACATTTTACCACTCTTAAGAGTGCTGAGTATTAAAGCTGTAAGTCATACCATATTTACAACATAATAAAATTAAAAAAATGAAATACATAAAAATAGATATATAAAAGATAATAATGTATATATAACAAAAATAAAAACTGTAATAAAAACAAAGAAATATAGCTTATAGTGAAATAATACAGAAAATTCATAAGGAAAAAAAGTTAAATTAAATTAATATTAATGATAATAAACTATTAAAAAAAAAACTAACAGTCATACTTATTTACAATCAGCCAAAGGAGCTCCGAGTCCAGCCCTTTTCCCCACGTGTAGAGGACAAGGCTAGGCTCTAAGAGATCCCAGCGCTACTCTCTCAGCTGCATTACCGGAATCAGAGTCCAGTGGAGACAAAGAGAGAACACTACAGCCACAGACACTCATGACTTGAGTGGAGAAGCTGGCCAGTACCAGAACTCCAATGATATATTTACAAAAGATCTCAAGGCCACTGCCGTTTCAACCTTCGAGGAGGATTGTAGAGATAACTGGAAATGGACAAGGATTGTGATAAGGGATTAGGATGGTGGATTAGGTTCAAGTGAAAATTTGAGAATCTGGATGGAATAACATCAAGGACATAAGGGATGTGAAGGTCATAATGTAAGGTATTGTTCGTGACATAATAAGGAGCATTGACTATTATACGGAGGACTTTAGACTGGAAGGATTGGATGCGTTTGATGTTCGAAAATTTGGTTGTACCTCACGGTTCAAGTCTGTAGGTCCAGATGGGTTTCATTATGGTCTTGTATATTAATAGTTTATTTTCAATTAAGAGGTTAGATTTTCTGTTAAGTAGTCTGTGACTACTGACCAAATCTTCTGTTAAGTTCTTGTCTTTTAAGTCTGGTATGTGGATTCCATGTTAGTCTTTTGTCTAAAAGGAATCCAAGATACCGGACTGTGTCTGAAATGGGAAGAGGTACTGAGTTGAAAAGGATAGGTGGACAGGATCTGCATCGGAGGATAAAGGTGACATGCTTGCATTTGGATTCATTGCTTTTGATGCGCCAATTGTTACACCACTGCTCTATTAGAGAGATGTGTCTTTGTAAGTTTAGGGAAGCTATTTCAGGGCCTGGGTGGAATGATAGGATGGCGGTATCGTCAGCGAATGTTGCTAGAAGAGTATTAGGAAGGGTTGGAATGTCAGCTGTGAAAAGGATGTAGAGAACTGGGCCCAAGACACTGCCTTGTGGAACACCAGCCTTAACTGGATAATAGTTGGAGAATTCAGTGCCGCAGCGGACTTGAAAGGAACGATTTGAGAGGTAGGATTTGAGGACTAGGTACAAGGATTGGGGTAAGTGAGTTTTGAGCTTGAAAAGCAAGCCATCATGCCACACCCGGTCGAAAGCTTGCGCTACGTTCAAAAAGGCACTAGTGCAATATTGCTTGTTTTCAAGAGCAGAGGATATATGGCCAACAACACGGAGGCCTTGTTGAACAGTGGAATGTCTTGAGCGGAATCCAAACTGACTGGAGAGGATATTGTGGGTTTCGAGAATGGGTAGGATACGTTTAAGAAGGATTTTTTCAAAGATTTCGGAGAGGATTGGGAGCAAGCTTATTAGTCTATAGGATGAGGTATTATTAACAGGTTTACCTGGTTTAGGGAAGAGGATAATAATGGAGTATTTCCATATCAGAGGAAAGTGAGTTGTGCGGAGGGTACAGTTATACAGGTATGTGAGGAACATGATTGCTTTTTTGGGAAGTTGTCTAAGGATCTGGGAAGTAAGGAGATCGTGTCCAGGGGATTTTCGAGGTTTCAAGTTGTTTATATGGAATTTGACCTCAGAGGGGTTGACAGCTTTAGGAGGCAAGGAGAGAGGAATCTGAGAAGAGAGGAGTTCTTTAACTTCAGCATTGTGGGTGGGATGGAGTTCGGTGTGGGGAGTGAATGTTTTGGATAGGTGTTTGGCAAATTCTTCAGCTCTAATCTCATCTGACGAAGCCCAGGTTCCATCATCTCGTCGGAGTGGGTGGGAAATAGATTGGTATTTAAGGATTTTTTTGGTCACTTTCCAGAGGGAGTTGTCATCGGTAGAGAGGGAAGAAAGGTAGGAATTGTAGGATTGGGATCTAAAGGTAGCCAGTTCTTTTTTAACCTGTTTGGAATAATAATTATATAATTTCCGATTATCATGATGCCTGGTTCTTTGCCAGAGGGTCCTAGATTGGCGTTTGGATTTAATAAGGTCAGTAAGGTTTTGGGGCAAGGGATTCTTTTTGAGGGTTTTTTTGGAGGGGAGTGGTGAGGATGCAGTCCAGACTGCTTGTTGGATCAAGGTGGTGAAGGAACTCACTGCATTATCTAGGTCTTGAGGGGTTTTCAGGGGTACTCTGAGGTCTATTGCATCTGTTATTGTTTGGCGGAAAAGGTTACAGTTGATCGAGCCTCTGATGAATGAGGGAGGAGATAATTTGGGGATAGGCGATGCAGAAAGGGTTAGGTTTAGCGGACTATGGTCTGAGGAAAGGTCATCGAGCCGTGAAATTGAGAAATTTAGCGGCCCTAGACCTTTGTGTATGCCCGCGGGAATTCGTGGTTCTGGCTCCCCATTGCTGATGTTTGGCATTAAGGTCTGCACCTATAAGGAAGTAGTGTCCTAGCGAATTAAGAAAGGAAATTAAGTTAGGTTCAGGTATTGTTTTTTTAGATGGAGAGTATGCTGCGACAACTGTAACAGGAAAAAGTGAAGTTTGGATAGTTATTGCTGAGGTTTGTAGGAAAGTGAACTGGTAAGGGATACAAATAATGGGAGAGGGATTGGTGGATGATGAAAGCAGTGCCAGCATGTGCTGTTACATCAGGGTGGTCAGTTCGATATATCTTGTAGCCAGGTATGTTGAACTGTCGTTTGTTAGGTAGTCGGGTCTCAGGTATTAGGGCTATGTCTATGTTATTGTCCTGTAGAAAAAATGTTAGTTCGTTGATGTGATTTCGAACACCATTCTCATTCCAAAGGATAATGGAAAGGGGTTTTATTGAGGACATTCAAGGAATTCTTGGCGGTGGAATAAGATTAGCTGTGACGATTGTAAGGTAATGAGCGGCGTGATGAGGGATTTGATTTCTGAGAGGAATGATGTGAGGAGGCTGGTAAGGTCATTGGAATTGTTAGGGGAAGAAATGTAGGATATTTGGTGAGGACTGAACTTTTGGGTGTTATTATGTTCGGGTGGTATACCATGAGGTAGTGGCTGAGTTTGCGGCAGGGCCTGAGGTTGAGAATGCTGCTCTAGTTCTCCTAACATTTGAGCATAAGATACTTCTTTGTTTGCAAATCTTGAGGGTTGCCTTGGTGGTCTGGGAGTCCTGGAAGTCTCTTCATGTCTAGGTGCTGTCTGTAATCTTGATTTTAAGATATTATATGTCTGGCATCCTTTGTAGTTTGCAGGGTGATTTTTATGGCATAATGCGCATACCGCTGGAGTTTGCTTGGACTTATTGCAATTTTTAGACTTATGTTGCTGCCCGCACTTCACGCATCGCGGTAAGCGGTGGTAATAGCTTATAGTATGGCCATATGGTTGGCAATTATGACATTGGACTATTTCCCGTTTTGCATATGGTTTTTCGACAACTATACTAGTATAGTACAGGCGTCTTAATTTATAGATGTTATCAACCCCAGTGGTGCGCTCTAGGTCTACAAAAAATAGTGGTAGGGCTATTTTGTTGTTTGTACCTGGTTGCTCTTTGTTATCTTTATATACGTTAACAATTTGGCGGACACTGAAACCCAGTTCTGTCAATTCTTCTTTGATTGCATCAGGTGGAGTTGATGGGTCGAGGCCTCTTATCACTATAACACACTACTCTTAGTGCTCTCTCTTGGAATAACTGATATGTATGGAATTCTGCCTTTGTATCAGTCAAGTATTTTACTATTTTTTTATATGATTCAGGGGAATCTGGTATCAACTTGGTGTCATTGATTCGACTTTGACATGTATATTTACCATTGTCAAGTAATTTATTTAAATGCTGGCAAAATAACGGAAATTTTTTTATATTTCTTATAAATATTGGACGTGGTTTTGGCTCTCTGGGGGTTGATGGTATTTCCATAGTTTCTTCTGGAGTATTAGATAGTAGTTGGTATGGGTTAGGGGTAAAAAATGGTGATTCATCTGTTTCAATGTTTGTTTCATTGGTCATAATTTCTGTTGAGGTACCAGGTTATGGTTCATTTGGTCTATCAGGTGTAGATGGTTGTGTTTTTCTGTTAGAACGCCAAGGCTTTTGTTTTACTGGCGAATTGAGAGAGCTATTATTGCCTAAGCTTCTTGATCTTTTGTTCTTTCTAGACATTATCATATGATAATATCGCATTTCATGTCAACGACTATTGAAAAAGTTTTTTTTTTTACGTAAAAATTACGCAGACCGATAGAGGGCCGAGTGATATAGCCTAGCTTACTTGACAGCTCGACAGGCACCGAGACTGCCGGGCTCTAAGTGGGGAGACTGTAGATAAGAA